TAATTCCCACGGAAATCTATACATTCTCTTGGCGGTGGACTACGTTTCAAAATGGGTGGAAGCAAAAGCCACCAAAACCGATGATGCCAAAGTAGTGACAGATTTCATCAAGACCCGCATCTTCTCAAGGTTTGGAGTCCCGCGCATTTTGATAAGTGATAGGGGCACTCACTTCCACAACAAAACTGTGAGTGCCTTGTTGAAGAAATATGGTGTCACCCACAAGCTCTCCACCGCCTATCACCCGCAAACAAACGGCCAAGCCGAGGTCTCGAATAGGGAGTTGAAGTCTATACTCCAAAAGACGGTGAACCCTAACCGTAAAGATTGGAGTCTTCGGATAGATGATGCCTTGTGGGCATATAGAACCGCTTTCAAAACACCAATTGGAATGTCTCCCTATAGACTTGTGTTCGGGAAGGCCTGCCATCTCCCGGTCGAACTCGAACATAAGTCTTATTGGGCGGTAAAAACATTCAATCTTGACATGGAACAAGCGGGGATGCAAAGGAAGCTACAACTCCAAGAGCTAGAAGAACTTCGACTTGAGTCCTATGAGAACGCCGCCATCTACAAGGAAAAGACAAAGGTATGGCATGATAAAATGATAATGAGAAAGGACTTCCAAATCGGAGACAAAGTCCTTCTCTTTCTCTCACGCCTTCGTCTTTTCCCCGGTAAATTGAGGTCAAGATGGGAAGGACCATTCGAGGTAGTCAAAGTCTACCCCCACGGAGCAGTTGAAATAAAGAGCCTGGACACCGGCAAAATCCTCAAGGTTAACGGACATCAACTTAAACCGTTCCTTGAAAGTTTTTCACAAGAAAGCATTGAATGCATGGATCTCGTCGATCCAATCTATGAAGGATGAACTATACCATGGCGTCGTGCCGCGACGTTAAATTAGGCGCTTCTTGGGAGGCAACCCAAGCAAGGTATGTTTTCTTTTGAACTTATTTCATCATGTGTGTGTTTCAAAAAAAAAAAAAAAAAAAAGTGTATCTGGGGACATGACCGATCGAGTACTCTGTAATACTCGGTCGGGTATGGGTAAAAAAGGGGACCCGATTTCCATACTCGATCGAGGTAAAAATCAATTTTCAAAGATACAGGCATACTCGATCGAGTATTGAAACATAACCGGTCGAGTATGCCTGGAAAATCAACTCCATCGAATGCCTGTCTCTGAGGCCCGATCGAGTACATAACCATACTCGATCGAGTATTGGTAGAAAAATAAAAATAATGAACCCCTGCCTCCAGTACTCGATCGAGTACATTATCATACTCGGTCGAGTATGGGTTAAAAAAATAACTTTTTGTCTACCTGCCTCCAGTACTCGATCGAGTATAGGTTGATACTCGGTCGAGTATGCCCAGAAAACACCCAAATCTTATTCCCTGTCTCGGGTACCCGATCGGGTATACAGGGATACTCGATCGGGTACCCCTGCGGATATAACCCCAAATACACCCAAAACACTTCATCTTCCCCAACACTCTCCAAAAAATTCGAACCCCCTCTCCCCCAAACTCCATTTTCAACCCTTCTCTCTACCATATCTCTCTCAATTCTCCACCAAATCAACCCATTCCACCACCAAAATACTCCCTTCACTCTCCTCTCCATATCTACACCCAAAAATCCATTTTTCCCCAAACTTCCACCAAATCCCAAAAAACCCTACCCCATTCGAATTTTTGCCTCTTCAAGCTCTAATTCATCAACAATGGCACCAAGGAAGAATAGGGGAGAGAGCTCAATCACCATAGCACCCATCCCGGGCTTTGAAGACATCATTCCCGCCGACGCCGAACACCGAACTAGACTCCTAGCAACAACAAAAAGGCAAGTAAAACCTTCCCGTTTTCTATGCCATGATGCTTTACGTGAATTAGGAGTCTATAAGAGTTGTAGAAAATTCTTTCATGCATTAGATATGGACCGTATTTTCAATATGAAGTACAATTCTAATGACCGAATTATCTACGAATTCTTGAGTTCGGTGAAGTTTGAGAGTGATGAGGCGGATTTTAGGGATGATAGACTCGAGTTTCGTCTATTTAACCGAAACTATTCAATCACGAAACTCGAGTTTGCTGAACATTTTGGCATCCCGGTGCCCTACGAGAGAACCATCTCGGATAACACCATCTTTGGGCACTCCCTATGGACAAAGATGACCGGGGAAGTGAACTTTAAATCCTCCCAAATGTATATTAGTCATGTCCAACACCCCGTGCTCCGGTTGTTCCTAAAATTCTTGGCGAATTGTTTGCTTGGCCGTCCCAACAACCATCACACTAGAATCGGGGACGTGTGTTTGATGTTAGTGGCCTTATTCCGTCGCCACGTGGACTTCAATTTGTGGAATCTCATGTGGGCACATTTAAAGAAAGAAAGCTTAGCAAAAGGGGCCATAGTTGTGGGTGGAGTGATAATGCACGTGGCAAGTAGGTTCGGGTATACGGATAACTCCCCTATACCCGACTATTGCTTAATGGATATGGGTTGGTTAGGACGCTCGGGATGTACATCTTTCTCCCACACGGTCTATATTGGAGACCAACCAAAAAACATGTACAATTGGGTCATACACGTACAACCTGTGCAATACTTCCTACTGCCAAACCCGGACACCCCCAAACTACGCTACAGACCGGAGTTCGAGGAGCCTCACTACCTATTCCCTCACGCCCTTCCACCACATCTCCAAGAACCGCAAGCCCAAGATCTCCCCGAAGACCAACCCGACCAAGAGCCTCAACCCGAGTACCAAGAACCTGAGGTTGCACATGACCACATGCCCGAACCGAACCAAGTTTCCCCACCCCCCGCTTACTTCCAACAACTGCTTGACGGATTCAATAGAGTTACCAATGAAGTTGGTAAATATCGGGAGGAACAAAGGGCGGGATTTCAAAGACTACAAGAGCAACGGGCCGAAGATAACCGAAAGTATGAAGAAGATCAACGTAGGTTCTATGGACCTATGTATTCCTACATGGCTCATCAAGGCCAATTCCACACCATGGCTCAACCACCACCACCCCCCTCTTGGTATGACCCCACTCAATGGGGCAATTTCGGAGGATCTAGCTCCGGGGGTGGAGGTTTTGATGGAGGGGATGATGGCGGCGACACCCACATGGGCGATGGGAGCTTTGGAGGAGGCTTTGGAGGCGGCTACTACGGCGGTGAAGGTGGGCACTAGGGACAGTGCTTCAACTAAGTGTGGGGGAGGAGATTACTCATGGTATGTAATTTTATTTTCTACCTTTTACTATGCATGAATTTCTTTTACCCTTTGTATTAAAAGATAAAAAAAAAAAAAGAAGAGAAAAATGGATAAAAGAATTGAAATGCTAGTTAGGTTGAAAACCCAAAAAATGGGCAATCTAAGCAAAAATGGCTTTAAAAAAAAATGAGTGAGTTGGGGAGGATGGAAAAACACAAAGAGATGCTAGGATGAAAACCTGAAAAGGCTCCTAGGCAAAATGAGAGATATGAGAGGAATATTTTTCTGTGTGCAGGAACTCACTTGATCTTTTGGGGAGAAAGAGGAGAAACAGAGAAAAAGAGAAGAAGAGGAAGAAGAGCCAAGAAGATGGAGCATAGAAGATCATAAAACCCAAGAGAGAATGTTGTTTGTGAAATCATTTCTTATTTCTTGGTGATCTTAGTTCATTTCTTTCTTGAACTCATGGAATGGTCTTAAACTGTTTGAACATTTGACTTTACTCGAGGACGAGTAAAGAACTAAGTGTGGGGGAGTTGATACGTTTGTAATTTCCGTATGTTTATTTACGTTTTTAGTTAGTTTTGATTGTTTAATATCTCGGAAATTACACACTTTCGGTGTAATAGTTTAGTTTGTTAAATTCTTGTAATTTGTTTAGATTAGGTTTATTCTGAGCTTAAACAGGTCCAAGATCAATCAAATGATCAATGGTGAAGGAAGGTGCAAGAGTACAAGACAAAAGAAGGAAAAATCCTGACTTTGGTCTATACTCGGTCGAGTATATACATATACTCGATCGGGTATCTGGTTGACATTTCAAATCGGATCGGATCCGAAAACAAAGGAACATGCAGGAGAAGATTTTCCCACGTTCGAGTGTCTATACCCGATCGGGTATACTTATATACTCGATCGGGTATACATATAAAATCTACTCGAGTATTGATCGAGTATTGACCATATTCTGATTTCTATACATACTCGATCGAGTATATATACATACTCGATCGAGTACTCGATCCTGCACCTCAAAAAGCCTATAAATACACCCCCTTTCCTTCACTTTTTGGACACCAATTCACATATACTTCTTAGCTCAGTTTAGACAAGTTCTTTCTTTATATTTTTCATCATGTTTAGTCTCCAAATGAGGAGCTAAACTCTTCCATCTTGGTTTTGCTACTTTGAAGCTTAATGATTTGTAAGTTGTGAGTTACTTTCTTTAATCTTCTTCCTTGAATATTAATTACTTCCTATTCTTATCCCATATTAATATATTGAGCATTACTAAAAGTACCTACTAGTCTTGTTCTATATATTAGTTATTACTAGAATTGGTCGGTTAATACGCTTGTTATTAATTCGATCCTTTCACGGTAGTAAACTTGGATTGTTAATACATGCTTTTCATGGTTAACAAGCCAAGGGGAATTAATTATATTGATTAAACCAATAAACCGCTTGTGTTGAGGTTATCAATCTCAATCATTTTCATCTTAATTTTATTGCTACTATCAAGTTAATATACGACGCTTGTTCTATATTGACTCGGTAGTAAGTTTTATTAATGAACGCTTCTCGTTATTAATAACTACCCTCGATGAACTGGATATACTCCTCGATTGAGTATTCGAGAGGAAGATAGTTAAAGATATAACCGGGATCGACGAACATTTCATTAAGTGGATAAAAGCAAAGCCAAGTCTTCTTCTCATTAATTAAACCACATAACTCGTTCATCTTCGTGTTTAAAGATAATTTAAGTTCATCAACCAAACATAAAACCCCCTGTTATTATTTCTTATTTATATAAAAAGAAGAGTGTTCCTTTCCCTGTGGATACGAACCTTACTACACTATACTACGTATTAGTGTCGTATTGTATTATTATTTTGAGTGCACCTCACGACAAGTGCACGTCAGTCCTCGTCCGCGAGGGCGGGGACGAGGCCGGTCTTCAAAGATGATAATCACGCCGGGCCGGGGGGCCGAACATGACACGACAGTGTCGGCAATGAGAGGCCGATCTGAAAGAATCAAGCAACGGCCCTCGTCCGCGAGGGCGGGGACGAGGCCGGTCTTCAAGAGATAAGCACGCCGAGCCGAGAGGCCGGTCGTGGTATGATGATGTCGGCGACGAGAGGCCGAACATGATGTGGCAGTGTCGGCAATGAGGGGCCGGCATGCAATCCAGCAACGGCTCCCATCCGCGCAGTGCGGGGGACGAGGCCAGTCTTCAAATATGATAATCACGCCATGCCAAGAGGCCGGTCGTGATATGATGATGTCGGCAATGAGAGGCCGACCTGAAAATCAGGATGGTCTCACGGCCCTCGGCCGTGATGGTCTCCTCTAGGCCCTCGGCCTCTGAATGATGGATGATCGTCTCACGATTCTCCGTCGTGATAGTCCCCCTCTAGACCCTCATGCCTCTAGGTGTTCTTCCTAGGCCATCAGTCTCTGGGGTGGAGATGTTCGTCCCACGGTTCTCAACTGTGGTGGTCTCCTCTCTAGCTGGCCCTGAACGTCTTCGAGACTCAGGCCCCGCGTCTTTTAATCATCTTGCTCGAGCGCGTCGAGCAGCTCCAACTGCGCAATAAGCATGGTAACGGGCCGCGCGGCCCGACAATATGTATACACACATAGCCAGTCGTATGTCTTTCTCTTTAACATCCACGAATACCGGCCTATGGGTCATCGTGACCCTCGGCCCGGCTCATCGTGCGGGACTAATGGATGTAGCAGCTCGCGGCGGGGCCAACTGGCAGCCCGCCGAACGTCACATAGAGATATTCATCGGTCCGTGAGTTTTCAAACTCAGACCCAAGTTCGTCGCACTGGCCTCAGAAAAAGGAGGTTGAGTGCTTTGGTGCCTTCGGGCCCCACAGGCCACGTTTGGCAATAGTCATTTCGCGCCTAATGGCGTAAATGATACTGGGGTATGATCGTCGATCGGGCACGTAGTGCCATGCGGACTAATGCGCAACCCTCCAATTAAAATGCGTCGCCGGGGCATCGCCCTTCTGGAGACGCTCAAATCGCTTAATCAAGCTGATCGAGAGTGGGCCAACGGGCCCACAAGAAATTATATATTCAATAAAATGTTGGCTGGACCAACCATCACCAGAGCTTCGCCCAACATTATTTAATTCGGGACATTTTATCCCTAATAAATAATAGTGATGTTATCCTACCATAGGTCATTCAGGTATGCTCCGTTCGCTAATTAAAGCCGATCAGGAGCGGGCTGACGGGCCCACAATAGCCCATCATTAATTAAAATGACGGTGAAAATAATTATCACTAGAGCTTTACTCATCTGAGCTTGCTCGACATTATTTAATTTTGGGGTATTTGTTCCCTATTAAATAATGGTGATAAAAACACTAGCATTACTAATAGTTTAATTAGTTAACTATTAAATGTACCAAGTCAGAATATGGGTACTTAGCTCTTTGAGGAGTAGGTTCGGCCATGTGATGCCATGTAGTAGTGAAAAATGAGCTACTTGAGTATTTTCCCCCATCTTGACTTGGTCAAAATTCTTTAAGAAATTAGCTCTCCAATGAATATGATTCCATTCGTTGTTGAGAAGCTCCTTCCGCTAAAATAAATGGCAGTAGTCCAGCCCACTCTTGGACAAAAATTAATTGGTGGGCCTGTCAACATGAAAGTGCCGAGCGTCTCCAGAAAAGGCAATTGTACCCATTGCTTAAAAACCAGGTGACGCCGGATGTCGAGTCATTGCTTTGCTAGGATGGCCCAGTATTGAATCGAGTCTCGGCTTCTTATCTTATAGCATGGGGCCGAGCGTCCACTCGAACTTGGCGTGCTGGGCGGCAAGGTGTAGGTCCCCGCGCTAGAGGCGGCCTTGGACTGATCGTCGGCGGAAGAGGCCGGACGGAAGAGGCCGAGCGGAGTGGGCTGGGCGGTAGAGTACGGGAGGCCGTACTGCCTGGCCGCTGAACTCAGGCCAAGTCATTCCTTTGAGCGGTCCGCCCGGCATAAAGCCTTTCTCCTGAAGATCTCCCGCTCGCCCCTTCCATCTGGATAAGCCTGTGTACTCCCAGTATCTCCCCGCTCGGAAGGAGGAAGGTCACGTGGGATAGCTTGGGGTATCTGCCTGCTGGTTTCCCTGTTCGCGTGCTAAGAGGGGCGGCGGGAGGCGATTCTTTGGCAAGGGACCAGCCCTGGTCAGATGTTGGCTCTGAGATCTTCAATCCGCCACCAATGGCGGAAACCAAGGAAGATTCAGTCGGCGGCGAGGTGGACAAGCTGGCCATGGATGGTGACCGGCGACCCTGTGACAGAGGCGGAGGATAGTAAATGCCGAGAAGTAGATGATGATGACCCTCTGAGGCGGCGCCAATTACTTTAGAGCTGCCACAGTGAGGTCGAGTGAGCAGCGACCTTCAACTGACGGTGCCGACGCAGCATGGATGGTTCCGGTGATTTCTGGCGGCCATGGCAGTTCCCGGTCTGATCTATCCTAGATCTGGAAAATCCCTAATCTTCTTCTGCTTTGCTGATAATAGGGGCGGAGCCAGGACACTGGGCCGGACTGGGCCGGTACAAAGAATATTTTTGGAAAAAAAATTAAACGGAATTTTTTACACTAAAAATATAGAGATTTTTAAAATTTAGGCTGGGCCAGGGCCAGGGGTGGCCACCCCCTAGCTCCGCCCCTGGCTGAGAACCAGTCTTTTTCGTATCATCCTTCTAGTAAAATCGAGCTAGCTAAAACCAGTAGTTTTTTTTGTATGAATTTTTGCAGAAAAATCAAGAACACGTGAAATCTTTTTGAACAGATTCCCACAGACGGCGCCAGTGTTGAGTTTAATCCAACACGATATAGTAAATATATGTATAAATGTGTATGAACAACTCAGTTTTTACGTGGAAACCCGAAAGGGAGAAAACCACGGGACTTTTTAGGCTAATGTCCAAGCCCTCTCCTTCTCATTAATCCCTCCTCACCGTTACATAGTACAATTTGATCTCCATTTATGGAGTATTGAGCTAGCTAGAGATAAATAAGGAAGAAGAAGCTAAAGAGCGGATCCCCAAAACATGGAGGGAAGCCTCATATTTATAGGGGAAAGGGTGCTCTCCACCCTAATGGGCCAAATGGGCCGATGCCGGGCCTAATGGCTAAAGTGGGCCAGAATAGGCCGAAATGGACCTAGCTGCTCGGGCTCCGTACTAGATACTGTCTTGGGCTCCTGAACAGTAATAGGCCGGGATAATATATCCCAACAAGATTCATTGATTCAGGTATGTCATCAGGCTGAACAGCTTTTAGTAATATCAAATCACGCTCAAAGAGCCAGGGACCTTCCTCAATCACACGCTTCATATCCAAGACATTATTAAAAATTAACAGGTACCTTTTGTCGCCGATTTCCTTGATAGTCATACCTTTAACAGGTTTCCAAATTGAGGTCATCAACTCCTGGAACCCTGGTAACTTTATCTTCCGATCCGATATCACAACCCCAACCGCCGGAAAACCAGTCGGCCCCGCCTCCTCCTCAGCGTCCTCCACTGTGTCCTCATCAAAGTTCAGCTCGTTCTCTTGCTCGTTCATCGTAAGTTTCTTGTACGAAGCAACGAAATCTTCCATCCAGATTCTTCCTTCCGTCGATCGAAGAGAGACTCTTGTTAACCGTCTTCGTTCCTACCCTGCCGCTCGCGATCCTCGGCAAGCGCCGAGATCGGACAAAACTAACCTAGCAGCATAAACGCCCTAGGAGGCTCGAAGGTATAGAGAGAGACTCTCGCTCCGATTTCGTATTAGTTAGCTAAGGTAACAATTTATAAGATAAATGATTAATAAATCTCTACTTGATAGAATTAATATAAGCACTTTTTTTTTAAAAAAGAAAAACTCTACTTGAGAGAATTATATATACTCCGTATGTGATATTGTTAAGGTTTATTTCTTTAACCCAAAAGCACAACACGTTTCCTTTGGATTTTGAGTGGAAAGTTAGATGGATATGTGATGCGAGCAAGTAAGATGGGTCAAATGATGAAAGTACTAAGTGGACCGTATCTTATTAAATGATAATAAGGGTCCATATACAACACACTTCAACTACTAGCCCCGAGGCCATTCGTCTATCTCAGTTAAAAAGAGCTAAGATAATTGCTACTGCTAGGGAGAATAAGTTGCCAACCCCTTACAAGTTACAATGAAATAAATGCTACTATTTATATACCAAGGAGTAGGTAGCTTCCCAACCACCAACTCTACTGCATTAAATGCGCCTCCCGCCAATATCTTGGTTTCCCGCCAAGGCTGCGGATGAGCATCCTCCAGGTCTTGGGTTCTGGGTCCTGATGAGTGCAAGGCCGAGCTCCGTACGGCCTATGCACGTTGCTTGGATGAAGATCTTGGCATGTTTATGATCCTTGTCTGGACAAGGTTACTGAAGCCGAGCGTCTTGAGGCATCCGACGCTCATCCTCCGATCCTCTTGATGGACCACGTCGATTGGGCCCTGGTGCTATATCTGCTAAGGGGTAATGGGCCGGCCCACGATCGGGCCATTAACCCAACATATATGATTAAAATTTCCACAAAATTTTAATATATGATTAACAATTAAATTTAAGCATCTCCACTCTGAGTAACAATTAAATTGAAGAGAGGATAAGTAGTTACCTAAACACTAGCTTCATCTTAAAAAGGGTTGTCATGTTGACTTTTCTTGGTTAATGTTGACTGTTTTTCTTTTGAAAGAGAGGTCAATGATGACGATCTCTAAACAACAATTTTAATTATTATATTTGTATATATAATTTATAAATTTTATACTTTATGAAAATATTTTTAATAAGGAACATTTTAATATAAATTTCATGAGAGTTTTCTTCAATATTATGAGAGTTGTCTTGAGTATTATGTTGTATATAGGAACATTTGAGTGGAAGACACAAACACAAACTCAAAAGTTGTGTTGTAGAAGGTTTTGCAAACCTCCAGTTGTTTTTTTTATCATCAGAACGACTTTTCATTAATATAGAGCAAACAAAGAGAACCACGTACACGGAGAGGCGGCCTATACCCTGAACTAGGGTTCGGATTTTCCGGCGACAACCCTAAGTTGTCTGGCACGGCAGTGGACAGAGGATAATTTGCAACGGCTTAGCAGGGGATTAGGGATTCCCTCTTCCTTGGTGGCTATTGGAACAGGGGTTCGAGGTGTTGCTGCGCGTGAAGGATGGAGATGCACAAGGACAAACGCGAGCATGAAGGGGTACCAGTGGAGAGCCTAGCCGACATGTACGTGGGACGAGAAAAGTTGCACGGGCTTCGAAAAGGCCAGAATTCGATTGACAATGGAGGATCAATTAGAGAAGTGCCAAAAGATTAGATTTAGTCCAAAAGAAAACATTCTTAGTTTAGATTCAACAACTATTGCGCCTTGAAGTTATTTTATCATTTCTCACGCTAATCATTTATAGCAAACACAAAATGCTCTTTTCATTCCATAAAATCTTATCAAAGTTAATTTTTACGTAAAATAATAAAATAGAAAATGCGTGATAGAGATTTGCGTAGAAGAGAAATAAATAACTTTAGTCACACATTTATCACTTTTAAATAAAAATGTCAAATTTTGTTAGACAAACAGATGAGGAAAATTGATCAAGTTTAATGAGAGGAAAGTAGTATATAACAAATAAAGGATTTATCAATTGAACTCTCGTTTTTTTTTTAATACTTTTGTAGTAGTTTTTCGACATGCAATGGCAAAATTTAAAATTGAAAACTAATTTTGAAGAATGTATTACTAAAAAAATATGAAAAATCTTAATACAAGCATTTTTCAGTGGTCAATTAGTAACGTAATACATTGAATTATGTTTTTCCTCTTTTGACACAATGTTTTAGGTGAGATGAAAAATGCATTGGTAGTTTCGTTTTTCCATTTCTTTATTTGTTTTTAATACGAAGTGTTGAGTTTAATCCAACACGATATAGTAAATATATGTATAAATGTGTATGAACAACTCAGTTTTTACGTGGAAACCCGAAAGGGAGAAAACCACGGGACTTTTTAGGCTAATGTCCAAGCCCTCTCTTTCTCATTAGGACTCTCCTCACAATTACATTGTACAAGCTCCCATTAATGGAGTATTGAGCTAAGTCTAAAAGAATGAGGGAGGTGGAGCTAAAAGAGGATCCCCAAAACATGGAGGGAAGCCTCCTATAAATAGGGGAAGGGGAGAAGGGGCTCTCCACCCTAATGGGCCAAACGGGCCAGGGTGGGCCCAAATGGCTAAAGTGGGCCGGATGGGCCGAAATGGGCCTAGCTGCTCGGGCCCCGTACTACGTAAAGCCTTGGACTCATGAATAGTAATAGGCCGGGATAATATATCCCAACACAAGTCCCCCAGTTTCTTGAGTAGTGAGCTCGCGAATCTGCTCGAGAAAATATACTCTGCCTGCGCTCTTCCTCTGTCTTGCTGGAAACTGTGTCTTCACATAATCATCATATATGAGTGAGTGTCTGCACTCCTGAACGTAATCTACCAGTGAGGCACCCCCCTTCCCGACAGGGTCGGGCGAAGGGTGCTCCTCCACGGGCACACTCCCGCTGAATGCATCAGGCGGGAGTATAGGACTCTGACTCGATCTTTCCAATCGGAGAAGCTTAGAGGTCCATGCATCTATAAACCGACGTCGCGGTACTGTCAAAACATGATGCACGTGTGTATGTATGAATGTATGAGGTATGATGCATGAATGCATGTAATGTATGGGTGCAATGTATGAGAGAGGGAATGCAAGATGTGATAGGAGCGGTAGCTCTCAACGATAACCCGGGCATGTCAGCGCCGAGGGGCAGACGTGCTGCATAAGAGACGTTCGTCGCCATCCTGAAAGGGATGGGCGACCCTAACGTGAGCCATACACGATGGCGCTGGGGCGCTAATTGTGCTGCATAAGAGACGTTCGTCGCCATCCTGAAAGGGATGGGCGACCCTAACGTGAGCCAGGCACGATGGCGCTGGGGCGCTGATCGTGCTGCATAAGAGACGTTCGTCGCCACCCTGAAAGGGATGGGCGACCCTAACGTGAGCCAGGCACGATGGCGCTGGGGCGCTGATCGTGCTGCATAAGAGACGTTCGTCGCCACCCCTGAAAGGGATGGGCGACCCTAACGTGAGCCAGGCACGATGGCGCTGGGGCGCTGATCGTGCTGCATAAGACGGTCGTCGCCATCCTGCAGGGAAATGGGCGAGCCGAACCGTGAAGCCAAGTACGATGGCGCTGAGGGGCCGATCGCACTGCATAAGACGTTCGTCGCCATCCTGGAGGGAATGGGGCGATCCGAACGTGAAAGAGACACGATGGCACTGAGAAGCCGATCGTGCTGCATAAGACGGTCGTCGCCATCCTGGAGGGAATGGGCGAGCCGAACCGTGAATCTAGGTACGATGGCGCTGAGGGGCCGATCGTACCGCATAAGACGTTCGTCGCCATCCTGGAAGAGATGCGCGATCCGAACGTGAAAGAGACATGATGGCGCTGAGAAGCCGATCGTGCTGCATAAGACGGTCGTCGCCATCCTGGAGGGAATGGGCGAGCCGAACCGTGAAGCCAAGTACGATGGCGCTGAGGGGCCGATCGCACTGCATAAGACGTTCGTCGCCATCCTGGAAGGGAATGGGGCGATCCGAACGTGAACGAGACACGATGGCACTGAGAAGCCGATCGTGCTGCATAAGACGGTCGTCGCCATCCTGGAGGGAATGGGCGAGCCGAACCGTGAAGCCAAGTACGATGGCGCTGAGGGGCCGATCGCACTGCATAAGACGTTCGTCGCCATCCTGGAAGGGAATGGGGCGATCCGAACGTGAACGAGACACGATGGCACTGAGAAGCCGATCGTGCTGCATAAGACGGTCGTCGCCATCCTGGAGGGAATGGGCGAGCCGAACCGTGAAGCCAAGTACGATGGCGCTGAGGGGCCGATCGCACTGCATAAGACGTTCGTCGCCATCCTGGAAGGGAATGGGGCGATCCGAACGTGAACGAGACACGATGGCACTGAGAAGCCGATCGTGCTGCATAAGACGGTCGTCGCCATCCTGGAGGGAAATGGGCGAGCCGAACCGCGAAGCCAAGTACGATGGCGCTGAGGGGCCGATCGCACTGCATAAGACGTTCGTCGCCATCCTGGAAGGGAATGGGGCGATCCGAACGTGAACGAGACACGATGGCGCTGAGAAGCCGATCGTGCTGCGTAAGACGGTCGTCGCCATCCTGGAGGGAATGGGCGAGCCGAACCGTGAAGCCAAGTACGATGGCGCTGAGGGGCCGATCGCACTGCATAAGACGTTCGTCGCCATCCTGGAAGGCAATGGGCAAGACGAACCGTGAGTCTGGACACGATGGCGCTGAGGGGCCGATCGTGATACAGAAAAATAGTGATGATCATCTCATGGCCCTCGGCCTGTCGGTGAGTGGTAATCGTCTCACGGCCCTCGGCCGTGCTGGTGATGTGTCAAGTCTCTCTCCTGATTGGCTGTGAGAAGCCGATCGTCTGCCAGGACTCCATTCGGGAAGGAATGGTGAGCCTGAAATAAATCTGGGCGATGTCCCTTCTACCTGATCTGGGGGGCTAATCGTCGTTCGAGGCAAAAGAAAACCTGATGTTAGCCGATCGTCGTCGGCTACTTCATTCTTCGTACCTAAGTTTTGTAATTATTCTTTACATATGTTTTCCAGTTTGTACTTCCCGGCCAATAGCGCCGAGGGATAAAATCGTTCTTTGCTCCGTGCTCTTCTGGCATCTTTTTTTTTTTTTTTTTTTTTTTTTTTTTTTTTGTGGAGTCTTTTAGTCTTCGTTCGTCATTGGTCCTTGGTCCTACCGGCGTTCTTACATCGAAGATACGTTCGGTATCCGCGGACATCGCAATGAGGAACAGGTATATCTACATCGAGATTCCCCCTTTTTCGTTCGTCCCTGGTCCTTTTAGTCTTACCGGCGTCTCTTGCATCGAAGAAGACGTTCGGTACCCAAGGAACTCGCAGGGACGAACTGGTTTACCCTCACGGGTTCCCGTCTTTGTTATCCCACGTCCATCGATCCATGGTCATTGTGGGATGAACAGGTTTATCTTGGCAAGGCTCCCTTGGTTCGTCTAGCCCCCTCCGCGTCTCTACTAACCTCTACATCGAGAGGCGTTCGTCTTCGGCGGTGGGAGAAGATCTGGCACACCCGGGCAAGATTCCCTTCCACATAGGAGCTACCCTCCTCTTCTCCCCATCTTTTTTTTTTTTTTTTTTTTTTTTTTGTTTGAGGGAGGCAATCTATATTCTTCGTTCGTCCTTGGTTCTTGGTCCTACCGGCGCTCTTGCTTCGAAGAGACGTTCGGTATCCGCGAAACTCGCAAGGAGGAACAGGTTTATCTGCATCGAGATTCCCTGGTGCTTCGTTCGTCCTTGGTCCTTGGTCCTGCCGGCGTCCCTACTTCGAGGAGACGTTCGGTATCCGCAGACATCACAAGGAGGAACAGGTTTATCTGCATCGAGATTCCCTGGTGCTTCGTTCGTCCTTGGTCCTTGGTCCTGCCGGCGTCCCTACTTCGAGGAGACGTTCGGTATCCGCAGACATCACAAGGAGGAACAGGTTTATCTGCATCGAGATTCCCTAGCTCTTCTTTGTCCGTCCCTGGTCCGTGGTCCTACCGATCTTCCTACATCGAAGAAGACATTCGGTATCCAAGAAACTCGCAGGGATCACGGGATGTCACTCATAATGGCGGTGGCATAGCGAACGAATATAATGACGAGGCGATAGAATAGCTGGTCGTCATGCGAAGGCGATGGTCACCCTCCTGGAGGGGAGTCGTGAGCCCGATCGCAAACTCAAGAGGGTCGGCATTGAGAGCCGACAAATAATGATCATAACGCCGCTGAGCAGTCGGTCCTGATAAGGAGATGACGATAGTGTCCGATCAGGCCGATATATCCAAGCAACGGCTCTCATCCACGCAGCGCGGGGATGAAACCGGTCTTCAAAAGATAAATATGTCGTGCCGAGAGGCCGAACATAACATGATAGTGTCGGCAGTGAGAGGCCGAACTGAAAGAATCAAACAACGGTCCTCGTCCGCGGGGTGGCGGGGACGAGGCCGGTCTTCAAGAGATAAGCACGCCGAGCCGAGAGGCCGGTCGTGGTATAATGGTGTCGGCAATGAGCGGCCGATCTGAGAAAATCAAGCAACGGCCCTCGTCCGCGAGGGCGGGGACGAGGCCGATCTTCAAAAGATAAGCACGCCGAGCCGAGAGGCCGGTCGTGGTATCATGGTGTCGGCAATGAGCGGCCGATCTGAGAAAAACAGGCACGGTCCTCGTCCGCGAGGGCGGGGACGAGGCCGGTCTTCAAATATGATAATCACGCCATGCCGAGAGGCCGGTCGTGATGTGACGATATCGGCAATGAGAGGCCGATCTGAGAAAACAAGCAACGGTCCTCATCCGCGCATCGCGGGGACGAGGCCGGTCTTCAAATAAGATGGGGATATAATGGTGTCGGCAATGATAGGCCGACCTAAAATCAAGCAACGGCCCTCATCCGCGCAGCGCGGGGACGAGGCCGGTCTTCAAAAGATAAACACGCCGTGCCGAGAGGCCGGTCGTGATATAATGATGTCGGCCATGGGAGGCCGACCTAAAATCAAGCAACGGTCCTCATCCGCGCAGCGCGGGGACGAGGCCGGTCTTCAAAAGATGAACACGCCGAGCCGAGGGGCCGGTCGTGGTATGATAATGTCGGCGATGAGAGGCCGACCTGAAAATCAGGATGGTCTCACGGCCCTCGGCCGTGATGGTCTCCTCTAGGCCCTCGGCCTCTGAATGATGGATGATCGTCTCACGGTCCTCCGCCGTGGTAGTCCACTATAGTCCTCGGCCTCTAGGTGTTCTCTCCTAGGCCATCGGTCTCTGGGGTGGAGATGCTCGTCTCACGGTCCTCCGCCGTGGTGGTCTCCTCTTTAGCTGGCCCTGAACGTCTTCAAGACTCGGGCCGAGCGTCTTTTAATCATTTCACTCGAGCGCGTCGAGTGATTTCAGCTGCGCAATAAGCATGGTAACGGCCACATGGCCCAACAATAAATATGCACACATAACCATCTGCATGGCTTCCTCTTTAACATCCACGAATACCGGCCTATGGGTCATCGTGACCCTCGGCCCGGCTCATCGTGCGGGACTAATGGATGTAGCAGCTCGCGGCGGGGCCAACTGGCAGCCCGCCGTACGTCTCATAGAGATATTCATCGGTCCGTGAGTTTTCAAACTCAGACCCAAGTTGGTCGCACTGACCTCAGAAAAAGGAGGTTGGGTGCTTTGGTGCCTTCGGGCCCCACAGGCCACGTTTGGCAATAGTCATTTCGCTTAACGGCGTAAATGATACTGGGGTATGATTGTCGATCGGGCACGTAGTGCCGTGCGGACTATTGCGTAACCCTCAAATTAAAATGCGTCGTCGGGGCATCGCCCTACTGGAGACGCTCGGATCGCTCAATCTAGCTGATCGAGAGTGGGCTAACGGGCCCACAAGAAATTAAATATTCAATAAAATGTTGGCTGAACCAACCATCACTAGAGCTTCGCTCCACTTTATTTAATTCGGGACATTTTTATCCCTAATAAACAATAGTGATATAACAGGTAATAGCAATGATATTATCCTATCAAAGGCCATTCAGGTATGCTCCGTTCGCTAATTAAAGCCGACCAGGAGCGGGCCAACGGGCCCACAACAACCCATCATTAATTAAAATGATGGTGAAATTAATTATCACTAGAGCTTTACTCATCTGAGCTTTGCTCGACATTATTTAATTTCGGGGTATTTGCTCTCTATTAAATAATGGTGATAAAAATACTATCATTACTAATAGTTTAAACTATTTAACAATTACGGATTAGATGTATCAAGTTAAAGAGGGGTACTTATCTTTTTCGAGATGGAACCTCGGCCAGCAGGATTTGTGGAATCGGACTTGGTCTCCTTTGCCAATTTTGACTTGGTCAAAATTGCTCCAATCTTAATCCATCTGGCAATCACTAGTCCAATGACGTGGTCTTCTGGGAGCCAAGTTAATATGATCGGTGCTACTTACTCCACATCTATGGAAAAGGCTTCAGGAACATCGGCTCACCCACCCCAAGGTAATATGCCTGCGTCGGCCACCTTACCGAGGGAGGTTCAGGCGTTTGCCGCGGAGCAAGGACGGCCATATGGTCTGGTCTCGGTGGGAGGCCTGCTTATTGAGCTTCGAAAATACCTTCCCCGAGCTCCGAATCTCCATTAATGGAGGAAACCAAGGAGCTCACAGCCGGCCTATCCCTCAGGCCGCATTGGTAGAGTCGTGGAGGCTCGAGCTGCGACTGGCCAGGTGGAGGGATGACCAGCAGTTCACCGGCGGCGAAGGCGGCGGTGTGGCGACTCAAGCGATGGCCGGTGGAGCCAACGGTGGGCCATGAAACACTCTGTCGCCGGCGACGTTTTACCAGGAACGAAGCGGCAAAACCAATGGACGCTGCAGTGAGATTCCCCTGGGGTAGCTAAATTCACCGGAGGATCCATGGTGGCGCGAATGGCGGCGGCGGGTCCGGCGGCCCCAACTCAGATATGAAAAAATCCAGATTTGGATTTTTAGGATCCGTAGCTTCTTCCTTTCCCGGAATCATTTTTCCTAGAATTTTCCTTCTTTTTTGGTGAAATCAGTCCACTTCGTATGAATTTTTTGTGTAGGAACTCAAGAACAGTAAAACACATGAATCTTTTTGGACAGATTCCCACAGACGGCGCCAGTGTTGAGTTTAATCCAACACGATATAGTAAATATATGTATAAATGTGTATGAACAACTCAGTTTTTACGTGGAAACCCGAAAGGGAGAAAACCACGGGACTTTTTAGGCTAATGTCCAAGCCCTCTCTTTCTCATTAGGACTCTCCTCACAATTACATTGTACAAGCTCCCATTAATGGAGTATTGAGCTAAGTCTAAAAGAATGAGGGAGGTGGAGCTAAAAGAGGATCCCCAAAACATGGAGGGAAGCCTCCTATAAATAGGGGAAGGGGAGAAGGGGCTCTCCACCCTAATGGGCCAAACGGGCCAGGGTGGGCCCAAATGGCTAAAGTGGGCCGGATGGGCCGAAATGGGCCTAGCTGCTCGGGCCCCGTACTACGTAAAGCCTTGGACTCATGAATAGTAATAGGCCGGGATAATATATCCCAACACGAAGTACTCCGTAGTAAGTCTCACATAGATGAGTTTTCCTAAGAGAAATTACCCTAAATAGAACTAAAAACGTTTGTATATTCCAAAATATGACTTTCATGCTTTTATTCCCAAAATAGTACTAATTACTGCCATGTTTTGGCAGTACCAAACTTTAAACATGACAATATTTTCCGAACTTGGCAGTAATTACTCCTCTTTTGGGAATAAAAACATGACAGTCCTATTTTGGAAATTTCAAACATTTTTACTCATATTTTGGGAATTTTCCCATGTTAAACATCCCATTATGTCATGCATGTGTAATCTGGTCGGTATAAATCGTACATTACATTTTAGCTTTTGTATTTGATGGAATTTTGGCTCTGAGGATGACCGAAAAACCGAGTAAGAGAGAGACTGAAAGTGTCAGGTTTAGGTGAGTAGAAATTTTGGCAGAGTAACAGTAAGTTTGCGCAGAGAAATTCGGATCGAATCCCTTTCCACAGGTTAGAAGGTGATATTTATATTGTAAAGAAAATACTTGATGCCCAAGTATAAAAGATGCTATTCTAATGTGGTGACGACACGTGTAGTACTTGACCATCAAGTAAAATATGCTAGTCTAATAATAAGGAGACACATGTAAAGTTTAATTGGCAAGAGAATGGATACAACTTGTTGATTATTGGTATGATGCCCAACTGATTTTGATTCCTTCGTACTGGAGTGCACGTGCAAGCCACACGTGTAAGTTCTGGATTCTTCTGTAAGTAACTGTCTGAGTGATGTCAGCCCTAGATAGTTGTCATAACAATGTCGTAATTGCAACTAAGCGTGGAATTTGAGCTCCGAAAATAGCCAAGTGCAAAAGCTTATCTGAGGCCATGAGCTCTATGGAGTTGGGCTCGGGGACAACATAATGATTTAGGAGGAGGGTGTCCTCATCTCACTTAGGCGGAACTTGAACACCAAAAAAGTTAAGTCCACAATGTTCCCACAGGACAAGCTAGGGCTATTGCGAGAATTGATATCAGGGACAGTGCCGTATCTAGTTGAGAGGAAGACATCCTCCGTTTTGCTTAATTATGTGGAGCTTATAGATACTAAAAACAATCAAGTCCATAATCTTCAGTGAGGCCATGAGCTCTGCGGAACTTGAGCTCGGGGATAACGTGTTCACTTGATAAGAGGGTGACCTCTGCTTCACCTCGGTGAAGTAGTTGATTCTCTTTTAGCTCTCCGACTTCATGGAGTGCTTAGTTGACTTCAAGCTTGGCCATAACGTTGACTTTGGCATTGACCCAAGCTGGCGGCGAGCTCGAGCTCGGATGCAGTTTTGTACTTATCTCGATAATCAGAGAGCTGACTTCGGAATCGAGCTCGGCGGACATGGGCTCAGGATTGGCTACAAATATGGACTTATCTCGATGATCTGAGAACTGATTTTGGGGACCGACCTCGGCGAAGCGGGTTCGACCTTGGTGGTAGCTTTGTACTTGATAATTTCAGGGGATTGTTTATCGATACCCCTGGAGTATATGGGAAGATATACTCCACCATGAGTCCGGATTTCCAATGCTCTTTCTTTATTTGTTTTTAATACTCCGTAGTAAGTCTACAGTTTGGTCAGTATAAGTCGTACAAGACATTTTGGCTTTAAATAATACTCCGTAGTATTATTTAAAGTATTTAAGAAATTTTAGTTGTATGTTTGATGGCATAATATTTTAATTTTGAGTTTTTTTTTAAATAATTTTTTTTGACAAGTTACACTACACTGACTAGCTTTTTAGTGAAAGTCTGTAACTTTTATCAAAATAAGTCACGAAAGGTTGTTATAAAAAAAGAATAATAAATCAAAGAGTCAATTCTTTATCAAACAATTATTACGTTTTGCTTTTGAGATTATTTCAGTCATTAAAAGATAAAATTATTAAAAAACTACAAACCTCTTTTAGTTGGCTATTCACGTCCATACTTGACTTTCATTTCATAAAGGAACTACTATATATACCAAAGATTATGCTTTCAATGGAAACTAGTTACTCTATCCGACTATCCATGCATTGCATGGGAGTGAACTACCTTAAATTCATAAAAGTCTGTAATTATATACAAAAATTAAATAGTTATCCAATTCACTTAAAATGTTAAATAAGGTTTCATTGTAATAGAAAACTAAGAAATAAATTGTAAAATCAAATGTAAACATCTTAAACTTATTATAAATTAAAGTTAAAAATTATTATAAAGTTCTTTGTATATGAAATTCAACGCACACTTAATTGGTTGTCCATATTCGTCGCATGCATATCACAAACTTCAACTCAAATGAGCTTATTACTCCCCAAGACCGTTATGCACAACTGTAAAAATGGAACAACGATAGAAGATTCCAACCTTTTTTATCGATTTCTCTTGTCTCTTATTAGTTATGTCATTTTTAGATGCCAAATGAGTAGTGATGTAACCGATCAGTTTTAGTTTCATTGTATGGCATGTTTAATTTCACAAGGTTTATTATTGTGTGACAATTTATTCAACCCACTATTCGGACCACTTACAAAAATTACATATTTCACATAGCATGCAGGGGTTAAGCATTCAGAATCCCGTCAAGTTTGAGAGGTCGTGATTTCAAGCGGTCTACAATTTTCTTGAGCATGGCAAGCCTATTGTTTCTTATTTTTTCAAATTTGGACAATATACACATCACATTAATTATACTAGTATAATTTAAGATGTTAAAATACATAAGACCATAGGTAAATATCATAGGAATTAAAGGTGCATGCTAGTGGTCCAACATGGCCAGTTGCTCAAAATTGCCATTTTTTATACTTGGAATTTAAAAAAATTGATCCAACCTTGTCGGAATAGGCTAATCCGACAGTACTCTTTTGGAATTTACTTTTGGCATACTTGAATTTATTTAGCCGTGATTAATTAATAAAAATTAATCCAACTTAGTCGGAATAGGCTAATCCGACCAGAAAATATAACCTAGTCGGAATTCACAATTCCGACTCCCGTATTTTGATACCCTAATTGGGATTCCGGTGTTTTGGCTTGTCAGACATAAAACTCCCGTCTTTTGGTAATTTCCTCCTTTGTACACATCTTAATTAACATGGTCTTTGTTGCTGTCAATGAGTATAAACGTCGGGTGATCTTCAACCCTTCATAAAGTCTGTTTTTATAATCCATGTGTCGCCGGGGCTAATGCTCTCATAATCCCAGAGTTTATGAACTACCTTCCAAAATCCTTAGACAAGTAATTAAACTCGAATGTGATCACAATTCACAATCAACCTCATCGGTATCAATTTTTAAGGATGAATCCAATATGACTTACATCACCTGTCCCTCCCTTCCTGAGTGCTGCTCCCACCACATGAATCCGCTACCTTCATTATCATCCTCTCCCTTCTAAGCCGCTGAAGTACTACTCCGTGAAGGTAGGGAGAATCATAGGGAGCAATACCTTTCTGATCTCCCCTAGGTGGAAATTGAACTCAAGACCTGGCCTCTAATTAAGGAGAGAGCCTTGGGAGTGGATGGTCACTCATTGGGGGCCGCAACTGCCTCAGCTTCTTTAACAACCCTGAGAGCGTACCAGTCTATTCACGGAAGATGACTAAGAGAACCAAGAAGGGTGGTATTGTTGGAAAGTATGGTACCCGTTACGGTGCAAGTTTGAGAAAACAAATCAAGAAAATGGAAGTAAGTCAGCACAGCAAGTTCTTCTGTGAATTTTGTGGCAAGTACGCTGTGAAGAGAAAAGCAGTTGGTATTTGGGGGTGCAAGGACTGTGGGAAGGTCAAAGCTGGCGGTGCTTACACATTGAACACGGCTAGTGTTGTCACTGTTAGAAGCACGTACCATCAGAAGGCTCCGTGAGCAGACTGAGAATTAGAATGATTTTTGGAGTTTTTAAATTGAATGGGCTTGTATCTTGTCTTTGTTGCTTTAAAGTTTGCTTTTCATCCCAAATACATTGCAATTAGGTGAAAGCTTTATCTTAGTTGACTCTGTACTGAGTTGTTTTTATTGAACAATTTTAATTATAATGTTCTCCTGTTAAAAAAAAAAGATGATCACTCATTGGGCTACACCCACCTTTCCAGCCCTTCATAAAGCTTGGCATTATTAAAGCTTACTTTTGTAATTTTTTTTCCTCTAAGGCATTGATATGATCCCAATTTTAGAAAAAAAAAACATTGAGCTTTCTTAATCTTACTTTTTATTGATGATGGACTTTATTTTCCTGATGGGGGCTTATTTAGGAAAGTTTGACAACCTGTAGTGGTGTAATACATATATGTAATCTTACAAGCTAAGTGCCCACCATGTGTCAAGGTAAGCATGAGGGCTAACTTGGAAAACTAGAAAGCTATTGATGTTTATTTGTAGAAAGTAGATTAGATTTTGAAAAATGTAGTTAAAGAGGAAATAAAATAAGTAAGGATGAAATATCATATATACTCAAAATGATCAAATACTGGGAGACCGATGAAATCGACCAGATTCATTGAATATTCTGAATTTGATGAAACTATACACGTCTGAAGCGGTTGAATAGCTAGACTGAATCTGCTGAGTGATGAAAAATGATATATAAAATATAATTTATTAATAAAATAACTAGACTGAATCTGCAAAGTAGTCCTCGTTGGCAATTCCGGCCCAATCAACTAAGCCACAAGATTAACTACAACCCTTACGTATTCTAGCATTATTATGCATTTCATCACGTGATAGCAAATGTTACGTTTCTAGTAGGGCTGGGGAAAAATACCGAAATGCCGATATACCGTATTTATCGAACCGAAAAAAAACCGAATTTACCGAAATTTTCGGTATACCGAAGAATTCGGTACGGTACGGTATCATACCGATACATTACGGTACGGTAACGGTATGCACTTTAGAATTTTTCGGTATTTCGGTATATACCGAAATACCGTATATATATATATATGATTACTCAATAATTATTTATTGTTGATGTCTCTTGGGCTTTGGGCGGCCCAATCCATCCCATCGTACAAGGAGGAAGCTAGTATTCTAAAACCTGGGTCTTGGACGAGCACATCGCTAACCCTACTTTCTCGCCTTTGTTTTCCAAAAAGGTCGAGTCTCCTCTCGATGAAGAATAAGGTCATCCATGTTCCAATCTCTCAAAGGTTTTCTAAGAAGCTCAAAGGGTAGAGGTGATGGAACTAGCAAATGGGAGAAGAATACCTCATCAACATGAAGGTAACCCCTACTTCTCTTCCAACATGTTTTTCCAGATTACAAACTCTTGTCTTCTCTTTCATTTTTTTCACAGGTTTCTTCAATAATCACGAGTTTTCTATGGTATTGGCAGATTTGTAATAAATGAACAAAATAATCAATTGTTGTTACACTATATCGTTGATTCCGATTTCTTATTTGACTTTCGTGATACTCTTATTTCTTGCTTTCAATAAGCAATAGAAAGTCTTATTTAACTTTTAATGTATACTAGGTTGGATTGTTCTGAAATAAGAAATTGTAATGGCAATTATGGCATATGGTGAATTTCTTTACTCTGGCAATTTCTACTACTTTTATTTTTCAGACTCTTAGGTGTTTTAATTTTATAATTACACTCATTTTAAGTAGTTTTTAAATTCATTGAAGTCTTGTGTTGTCTATATGAACTCCTTTAAACGAAAAAAAGGTATTGCTGATATAATACTTGATACTTTGATCCATGTACCAAATGAAGTGACAAAGTCTCAAGAAAAAGTTAACTCATGAATGAAAAGCTTTGAGACCAAAGTATATACTCCGTAGCTTTTTAATGCCCTGCACTCCTACTCAATCCCATTTTCCAAACTTGATTTTTTCTTTGAATGCTAGCTTGGGAATAGTAACCTTCTTGGATTTTAAGTAACATTTCCAGTATGTTTTGAAAGTAGTTTGTTGGATTGTGTTGAACTTTGTTTGCACGGGTTTAAGTAACACTTTCTCACCCTTTCTCTGGGGCTTTTTATGTGTTCTTTTATGTAACTAAATATTAAATCAAACTTCTGATTTTCAGGTGGCAGAAACAATTCAAGTATTTCCCATTTCTCAATCATATATTGAGCAAAGAGGTCATTTCTCTAACTATATTCCCATAATCCTATACAGTTACAATATTAAGATTGCGATAATATTTTTTGTATTTATTTAAAAGAATCAAACCATAAATAAGATATAATAATTCTTATTACTCTTATATATAGGGACTCTCTATATACAGATTAAAGTCTACATATCCAGATTACAAAAGCTATATATAGGGATATGGATATATGTGAATGTAAAAAACGCTTGTGATACATCAAACTAAAAAACTGAAGTGATAAACAAAAGTGTACTACAGTAATAAACAAAATGAAAAGAGTTTTATTTATCACCATGAAGTTTGTTACTAACGCTTTACATTATTTAGTTATGTTAAATGGAGTTGTTTTCCATCTCATAACTAGAGTCATTATTCATTCTCCACAAACTGTTTTTCCACCCTTTTTCTTTCTCTTTTCAGAGATCAAGCAATGATCAAGCGACAACCGACCGTTCATTGAGCATATGGATTTCAAGTTTTAGTCTGTTCACTATGTTTCTTTAATGAATTTTACGCTAGAACATCTTTTAAATATGTATTTGAATTTATTCTTTGTAGGAATTAATGTGCTTTTTTATCTATGACATTTTAAATTTGCATAGCCTTGATTCTTGAATAGGGCTGAATGTCATATTTCGTGTTTATAAATTGGGCATTCAGCTAATCAGTAGTTATACATAAGTTCTTATTAGCATTTATTCGAGGTTTTTGTTAATAATTATAGAATATACATGAGATTCTATGGTGAAATGTCATTAGACTTTCGGTATACCGGTACCGTGCTTGGATTTCGGTATACCGAATAGTCGGTACGGCATCGGTATTCATTTTTGAGTTACCGAACTTTCGGTATACCGAAACCTCGGTATACCGAATTTTCGGTACGGTAACGGTATGCAATTTTCATATACCGGTATTTCGGTACGGTATACGGTATGGTGTAAATTTTTCGGTATGCCATACCGAACCACCCCTAGTTTCTAGTAAAAACATTGATAAAGCTGGTAAGTAAAAGATAATTCTCTAGGTTTTAAATTTATGATCTCAATTGCTTGAAAATGAATGTAGGCCAAAATTCTTTTAGGGTGTTTTCAATCAAGACTGGATTTTTCTCATATTATATTCTAATACACCATATACTTGTCTTGAATTGTTTAGGTCTGATTTGGTCTCAACTGTTCTGATAAAAGTTTGTTTTTATGTACCACGTATTACTCTAAAAGGAATCAGGTCTAAGTGAAAATAATCTGAGTGTTATTAGCAAAATAGACACTAAGAGCCCGTTTGGTGACTCTGTTTTTAATCTTATCAGGTTTATCAACCAACTTTTTAACCAAACATGTGATTTTGGATTTCGCACGCTGAATTGTTTAATAATAAGAAATAGTAAGATTGAAGTTACTTTTTACCCCAATCTAAAGATATAGTGTCACATAATATGAGATTTCCTAAATACCCCATTCTCTTATGCATGTTTGGTCGGTATAAGTTGTTACATTTTACCTTTTGTATCATTCAAAGTCTAAGAAATTCTAATTGTATGTTTGATGACATAATATTTTAATTTTAAGAGCCTCTTAAAATAAAAGATGTTTTTGACAAGTTACAATCTGAATAAAATTTTAGAGAAAAGCTATAACTTTTAGCAATAATAAGTCACAACAGGTTGTTATACAAAAAAGAATTATAAATCAAACAACCAACTTTTATTAAACACTTACAAAAATTTTCTTTTAATATTATTTCAGTCATTAAAAAAAGATAAAAATTACGGAGTAAGTAGTACTAAAAAGCTACAAAAACACATTTTGAGTTAATTGTATGAACAGAATCTGTATCAGAATTGGATTTAGTAATCGGTATAACCGGTTATGGTTATGAGTACACACATATATTTGCATATGGAATTGGCCGGTCCTGAGCTGGATCAGATCCATCCATGGTCCATATATGTTACTACTGCCGCCTAGTAAATATCTTCACATGGTCTTTGTTGATGTCAATGAGCATAAACGCTGGTGGGTGGTGTTCAACCCTTCACAAAGTTTCTTTTTATAATCCATGCTAACATTCCCATAATTCTAGAGTTTATGAACTACCTTCCAAGGAACTCACAAAAATCCCCCCTTTCCTCTAATACTAGCTTCCAACTCCTGACATCATGGATAGGAGTATCTCAACAAACCATCCAAGCCAAAGAGGAGCAGGTTAGAAAAGACCGACTTCTTTTCATATATTGACCCAAGTTATTCAGAAAACATATAGCAAATTGTTATTGTAGCATCAAATACTCATCTCCAGATCTATTGATATAAAACTATCAGGAGTATAAGGTAATGGCCTCAGCCAGCTGCTCTGGTGATACAGTAGATCTTCAATTATGTGGATATACCTAAACGAAAACTGATATCTAATTGTGGTGTCTGTTTACAAAGTGTTATTAACTTTACAGTAAATTAATAATTCAAACACATTTAGATTTATCACAAATAACATTAATTAGGAAATAGGGTGTAGAGGTACCCAAATCATACATATTTAGGTTTTACCCCAACATTCAAACAAAGAGATAATGAAATTAAGGATAGATATTACTGACCTCTATTCAAGATGCGAAGTAGAGAATAAAATAAGAATGAGATGATGAAGCTTGAAAGAGAAGAGGAATAATATGAAGCTCGAAGGAGGAGGAACACCGGTCCAGCAACCACCGTTAGCTAAATCGCTGATTGAAGTGCTCTGGCAGGACTTCGTCGCTCTTCTCGCTGACTGGGTGTCCTTCGCTTTCTGGCCGATTGAGAAAAGGGTTAAGAGGGAAGAAGCGCGAGGTTAAAATCACTGAGCGGCAAAAAATAATACTCCAAAAGTGTTTAGCGGCAAATGAAAAAATAGAAGGAAAAGAAAATGTGCGTAGGGTTAAGGGGGAAGAAGAAGGAGGTTAAAAT